TCTCTCGGGCCGTCTTGGGGTGATCTTGGGGGCCTCTTGGACCGCCTTGAAAGGTGTGAAAGACGAAGAGGCGGATATGTTAAAACTGACGTTTTCCTAAGGGAATGTGGCGATTTTTGCTTGTGGGAGCCCTCTTGGAGCGCCGCTTAGGGACCTCTTGGGGCGTCGTGAAGGCCTGTTGGGCCGTCTTGAGGCCATCGCAGGTGTTTGGGAGTGATATTTCGGCGTCTCCCGGCTCTCTTGGACCGTCTGGAGGGCTTCTCGGGCCTCTCTTGGACCGTTTGGAGCCCTCCTGGGCTCCGAAAAGGGACCTTGCCGGGAGTCTGCCGGGAGTCTGCCGGGACCTTGCCGGGAGTCTGCCGGGATCTTGCCGGGTTTTTTTTCGTCCGGGGACCCCCAGGGCCCGCCCCGCGCGCGCGAACTAGAAATATTGTTGAGCAATTGCCGGAGATCTTAGCACGCCTCTGGCCCGTTGGGCCGGCGAATTTTTGGATACCCAAATACCAATCTTTTTGAGCGCCCTCTTCAAGAATCGGCATGGTTCTGCTGTGTTTTGTTCTTCCCTGGGAGGGCCTGGGTCCAATCCGCTTTCTCCGCCGTCCTACTTCATGTGTTTACCTACTTTTTCCGACCGACGTGCATCCTCTGAGCTTTGCTCACGAGGGCCACGGGGCCCCGGGTGCTCCACAGTGGCGCGACAACAGGGGGGCATTTTGGGTCGGGATCACTTGTGGCAACCTCTGGCCCTTTCTTCCTTCCCCATCCTCCCTAGCCTTCCCCGCCCGCTGCTCCCTTCACCTCTTCCTCGCTGATGCTCGATCGAGCGCCCGCGTCTCGACCTCTCACTGTTTGAACAGCCTCGCCCGGGATAGTCTGATTCGTCGGGGTTCTCGGTTGTCACGAGGCCTGAGGGCTGAACGATCTGAAACGATGACACGACTTGAAAGGATGCGGGGGGAGGCAGGAAGAGGATCAGGAAGGAGGGATGGCGGCTGCGTGTTGAGGAGGCGGATGGGGCGGATGATGAGCAGGAGGAGACGGAAGAGGCGAATTGAGCAGATGAAGAAGAGGCAGGGGCGGAAGATCGGCGCTCAGCCGCCGTCGTTCAGAATGTTGCTCTCGCCCCAGCGCTGGCCACTTTTCTGGATCCGAGTCCTCCCTCATCGTTGTCGCCCTCTCCTGTCCCCGTCGCCGCCTTCCCCTGGTCTTCCTGCTCCTCCCGCTCCTTCCACTCCAGATCCTGCTGCTGTCAGTCCTCGTCCTCCCTCCTCCTCCTCCTACTCCAGATCCTGGTGCAACGTAGCATGCGAGTCTTTCGGAACTCAACCAGGACCGCGACGAGGGTGACGTCCACCACGAGGGCCGTCTAGGGCCATTTTGAGACAATTTTCGGCCGTCTGGGCTGCATCCTCCTCCTCCTCCTCCTCCTCCTGCTGATCCGCCACCTCCGCCTCCAATGTATGCAGTTCCCCTTATGCGATTGTGCATGGTCACCCGATCAGTGTTTGTTTTTTTGATTTCCAGGTACGCCATGACCCGTCGGCGGATAAATCAGAAACCAGCGCAATGGGAAGGGATTGGTGGGAGCGGTGGGACGTCTGACATGGCGCGAGCGCACCTGGCTCCCTCCCCATCTCCCCCTTCCCCCTTCGGCACCCTTTTCCCTCCCGTGCCGCTCCTCCTCCCATGCGTCCCTCCTCTCCCCCTCCCTGCCTCCTGCTGCTCCCCTCCTCGCTTTGCCTCCCCTGCGCCAACCCCCTTCTCCCCAGATCCTCCGCTCTTCTCCCATCCGCCCCGCTCCTTCTTATCCTCCCTCCTCCGCCTCCTCAGCCCCTGGCATCGCTCGGACGTGTGCATTTCTTCCTCGGCGAGGACCCTCGAGGAGCATCTCGGACCATCTTGCAAAACATGAGCGCACGAAGCTGAAGCATGCTCGGGGAGTGAACGTCCGAGCGATGGCAAGAGCCCCTCCTTTCGCCCTTCGTGCCGCGAGGTGCTGCATCCTGTGGAGGGCACCCTTGGATGTCCTCTGTTCTGGCCGGCGGAGAGCCTCGTGTTCTTGAAGGGTGCTCCTCTGTCCTGGGGCCGACCGCATCCTCCCTCCTCCGCCTCCCCAGTCCCTCCTCCATGCCCCTCCCCAAGGCTCGTTCGAACACTCTGCGCACGGTCGCGGGCGGGCTGGCGGCCGCCTTTCGCTGCTCCGTCTCACGCTGCGGCGCAGCCCTGCTGTGTGGTGGCGTGCAGTCAAATGCGGTCGGGCTCCCCCCCAAAGCCAAACAACAGAAACATGCCCCCCTCCCCAACAAAAAACAAAATGACAATCACGTCATTCTGCATGCCCTGCCGCTCTTGGTGCCGCGAGGTGCTGCAGGAGAAGATCATGACCTTCGGGAACCAGATCGCGGAGATCGTCCACGGCGTCTGCAACGAGTTCCTCGGGGCGCCTCCCGCCGTGCCCGCCCCTCCCACCGCCGGCTGGAGCTCCCCCTCTCTCTCTCCACACACACAGCCAACGCGCCCAGTAAGGACGCGCGCCTTCGTGTGGTCTTTCTCTCATCCGTTGTTTTGCCAATCGTCACACGCCCTCCCCCCCCCCCTCCCCCCTTCTCGGGCTGGACGAAAGGGGGGCATTGGGAAAGGGGGGGTTACGAAATTTGCTGCATGCAGCTGTTTTCGGCCTCACCGAGGGGCCCATTCCTCGATACAAAGCCGCCTCCGGCGCCGGGAGGCGCCGGGAAAATCAGCTACGTGAGCTGCTTCTCAAACCCCCCTTTCGCTATCCCCCCCTTTCGCCCGACTCGACCTTCCCTCGTGGAGCGGATCCTGGCAGAGCGACTTCGCCGGCGGAAGAGCCCTGGCAGGGCGCACGAGTGCGAGAAGACGCCGCAGGGCACGGGGAAGAGAGCGGAGGCACGCCCAGCGCGGGCAGGCGGGAGACGGAAGCCGGCCCCCTCCACGCACGGTCCGCGCGCCCAGCAAGGATTCAGGAGGGGAAAAACACACGGACACAATTGACCGTCCCATCCCAGCAAAATATGGGAAAATATGGGAAGTGGGGGGGAAGACGAAAACCCCAAAAAGATGGGAAAATATGGGGAATCCTTTTATTTGTGTGTATTTATTTGTGTGTCCCAGGGCCCCTTCATCCACGCACGGCCCGCGCGCCCAGCAGGGACGCCCGCCCGCCTTCGAGGGAGAACAAAAAACTGGCGTCCACGTGAATTTTGGGCGCGCCACGCGGATTTCTGGGCCCTGCTCCTGGGCCCCCGTGGCGGCGCCGCCGGCGCCGCCCCCGGCGCGCTGGTCCAGCGCAGAGCCAAGAGAGTCTGCGCGGGGCGCAAAAAGGTTTCTGTTTGTGCGGTCTTTTCTCAGGAGGGAAAGAAACACACAGACACAATTAATCGTCGATTCCCCAGAAGATATGGGAACATATGGGAAGTGGGGGGAAGACAAAAACCCCGAAAAGATTTGAAACATATGGGGAATCCGGTTATTTGTGTGCATTTATTTGTGTGTCCCACGGCCCCTTCATTTTCTTGTTTCTGTTCATCTGGGGTATCCCCGTGTCCTTGCCTCTGCTGCCTTGCCACCCGTCCTTGATGCGCGTTTTGTTTGTGATGCTCCTTCGCCTTCCCATCCTTCTCCCTGTCTCGACCAGGGCTGAACCTAAGCGTTGTTTTGCTGGATTCCAGACTTCGTTTTGATTTCTCCGTTTTGGCCGTGGGGCCCAGGGGAACAGGCAGAGCAAGTCCAAAGAGTATAAATCGGCACGCGAAACGAAAAACACCGTCTGGGTCCAGCCCTGTTCTCGACCTCCTTATCCTACTCCCCCTCCCCCCCTTCCGTCCATCTCCGCCTCTTCGCTCCCCTTCCCTCTCCTCCATCACGCATCTCGCCATCACTGTCCTCGTCCTCCGGCTCCTCACCACTGTTCCTCTGGAGCGTCACTTTCCCTTGTTTCTCATCCTGGCCGTCGTCTTCCGAGGCGCCGAACAAGAATAACGGCGATACTTTTCTCATCATCTGGCGCGTGACGGAGGACGAGGCGTCAGGCTCGCAGCTTGCCGCTGCCAAAGCGAAGCCAGCCGCAGGAGGGTAGCGCATCGCGAGGCACGACGATGACAGGACAAATAGTGGTCAGCCAAGTCACCCTCGGGGATGCGAGGATAGTCGCGCTTCGTGCGTCGCAGCCTAGGCTTGAGAGCTGTCTTTTTCCAAGGTGGCCTCTGGAGGGGGCGAAGATAACCACGCATCGCGGGGCGCTATTCGCGAAGGTTGGTAGCATAGGTGCGAGCCACGAGGATAACCAGTCAACTTGGGATCATTACGAACTCGCGAGACATGCGACGCCTGCTTGCGGTTCGAACTCTACACCGTGACCGATGCGGGTTCCAGTCAGGCCCAGCAAGGACGGGAGACGCAAGGGTACGCTGGAGGGTAGGACAGCCAGTAACGGGGAAGGCGGGGAGGCGAGGGCTGGATGATACCTCTTCTTCCTCCTCCTCCTCCTCCTGCTCCTCCTCCTCCTCCTGCTCCTCCTTCTCCTCCTCCTCCTCCTCCTCCTCCTCCTCCTCCTCCTCCTCCCTCCCTCCTCCTCCTCCTCCTTCCCTCCTCTCTCCTCCTCCTCCTCCTCCTCCTCCTCCGCCTCCTCCTCCTCCTCCTCCTCCTCCTCCTCCTCCTCCTCCTCTCATCGTTCAGGCTGTGATGCTTTGTGGGATCTGCACCGAAAAACGGTTGCGCACGACGTGGCCCGTGTCGTCGGCCGTGCGGGCCGGGCCACGGACGGTGCCCTTGTGTGACGACGAGCTGTGTGCGGTTCGCGGGTTGGCCGGAGGAGGAGGAGGAGGAGGAGGAGGAGGAGGAGGAGGAGGAGGAGGAGGAGGAGCAGGAGCAGGAGCAGGAGAGCAGGAGGAGCAGATAGGAGCAGGAGGAGCAGGAGGAAGGAGGATGGAGCGAGGCGGAGGTGGGAGGAGGAGAGGAGAGGAGAGGAGGAGGAGTGTGGATGAGAGGAGGATGAGGAGGAGGAGCAGGAGGAGGAGGCGGAGGAAGGGCTAGGAAAAAGGGCTAGGAGGATCCCCGCTGGTCGTTTGGAGCAGGGGGAGGAAGATGAAGAGGTGGAGGGGGAGGAGGCGGAGGGAGGAGGAGGAGGACGAGGAGGAGGACGAGGAGGACGAGGAGGAGGACGAGGAGGAAGAGGACGAGGGAGGGTGAAGATGGGGGAAGAGACGGTTCTGAGACGATGGATGGGGAGGGCGGATGAAGAGGGAGGGCGCAAGGAGGATGGGCAAGGAGGACCAGCACGGTCAAGAGGAGTGCGGAGAAGGGGGGTATTGATGAGGGTGGGGAGGAACAGGAGGGAAATTGGGGGGAGGGATGGGCGGGAGAGGAGGAGGAGGGAGAAGGAAGAGGGAGAAGGTGCGAGGAGGACGGGTGATGAGTGTGGGGGGATCAGGATGGAGAAGGCGAACAGGGAGGGAGGGCTACCGGTCGGGAATGAAGGGGCTTCCGATTACAGTCGGAACGAGGTATACGATCGAGGTCGGCTCGGGGAGGGTACCCTAACTTGAAGCTCGCTGAGGGGCAGCGAACGCGATCTGTGTTTCTGGGGCGACGGGGGAGGGGGCAATGCTTCTGTAGGGCAAGAGCAAGCATGAGCAGCCCAATCGTCGGCAAGAGCAAACCTGACATCAGAGCTTCTCGCGAAGGGCGGCTGTAAGGATTGCTGTTCACCGATCAAGCGCGCCCGCCGAGCGTACGGGGATCTAGCCCTGGAAACAATGCTGCCCCCCAAGCGACCTTGAAACCCTAACGTTCTTCGTGCTTGCTTGATGTTATTGTGCATCCTGGGAGGGTACCCTTAGATGTTCTGTTTGTTTTGGCCCGCGGAGAGTCTCATATTCTTGAGAGATGTTATTCTGTCCTAGGTCCGGCTGTACAAGATGTAGACCTGCAAAAGTGAGGCTTGAAGCCATAGCGCAGCCCGAAGAAGGGGGGGGCAGACGAGGGAGCTTTCGCCCTGGAAAAACACCCCTGGGAACGACCAGAGAAAGGGCGGCGCTCGGCTGGAGGGAGGCGAAGGAGAGGTCGCGTGTGGAGAGGGAGCGAAGGGGGTCCGGCGCAGTATCGGCCACTTCGCCTTGTGGGCACCACCGCCTCGGAAGACAGACTCACGGGGTCCGCCTGGGTGCTCTTGTAGCTGTGCAGTCAGGATCGCTTCACGGAAGTGCTATGTCGCGGTGCTGTCCGCGAGGCGCCCTCTTCTGCCTCTAGAATTTGCGCTGGAAGAAGAAGAAGAAGAAACGCCTCGGAAGAACAGACTCTGGTTCCAAGACCCCTGGGTCGAGTAGGGCTAAGAGTCAGAGAGCGCCCTCCTCTGCAGGACCATCAAGAGGGGGCGTCGAGGGGGTGAATCAAGGGGTGCGTCAAGAGAGTGCATCGAGGGGGGCGGTTAAAGCGCGCAGAGTGGTTGCACCCCTTCACGCCCGTTCAGACATGACCTTTCGGTGCTACACGACCTCTGGGTCGCTGCCCCTCGGTGAAGGGCAGCTGCAGCTGGCCAAAGGGTACGTACAGTCGGGGCGTTGAAGAAGGAACCCTTTTCGTCGGGGAGGGGCTCCGTGTTCCTTAGTTGTTTTACACTGTGCCTTAGGTTTTCCTTAGGTCTTCGATATGAAATCGAAGTTCAACTTATGGAAAATAGGGGCCTCGTTCCCTATGTTGGGTTCCTTAGGTCAACGCCCCGACTGTACTGCGAGTCGGGCCCTGTAAGGTGGGCCTGCGCTGGCCCTCTCGGGTTATGTCTGGGTCGAGGCGAGCGACGGACGACACGACACTTTTTGCCATTACGACGAGGACGTGCGGACAGGCTTGGCACTTGTTAGTCGGCGAACACCACCGGGGAGCATCATGGACCACTTGGCAAGGCAGGCGCGCGCGAGACCGATGCATGCAAGGGGAGTGGACGTCCGAGCGATGGCCAGCAAGGGGGGAGGGCCAAAATGAGGGGGGGCCCGGAGGAAAAATGGAGGAGGAGCAAGAGGGGGATGCCCAGGAGGAGGAGGAGGAGGAGAAGGAGGAGGAAGATGAGGAGGAGGAGGAGGAGGAGAAGGAGGCCCAGACAGTGCCATGGAACCGTACACAATCGATCACATCAAAAGTGTTCGCTTGCCTGCTGGAGAACGCCCAGCGGCACCAGGCGCTGGCGCCGCGCCAAGGAAAAAGGAGGAGGAGGAGGAGGAGGAAGAGGAGGAGGAGGAGGAGGAGGAGCAGCAGCAGCAGCAGAGCAGGAGCAGGAGGAGGAGGAGAGGAGGAGGAGGAGGAGGAGAGGAGGAGGAGAGGGAGGAGGAGGGAGAGGAGGAGAGAGAGAGGAGGAGGGAGGAGAGGAGGAGGAGGAGAGGGAGAGGAGGAGCAGGAGGAGGAGGAAGAGGAGGAGGAGAGGAGGAGGAGGAGGAGGAGGAGGCCCAGACAGTGCCACGGAGCCCGTATACAATCGATTCCATCAAAAGTGTTCGCCTGCCTGCTGGAGAACGCCCAGCGGCACCAGGCGCTGGCGCCGCGCCCAGGGGAGGAGGAGGAGAGGAGGAGGAGGAGGAGGAGGAGGATGGAGGAGAGGAGGAGAGGAGGAGGAGGAGGAGATAGGAGGAGGAGGAGGAGGAGGAGGAGGAGGAGGGAGGAGGAGGAGGATGAGGAGGAGAGGAGGAGGAGGAGGAGGAGGAGGAGGAGGAGGAGGAAAGGTCCATAGGAGAAGCGGGGAGGACGCTGCCCGCGAGCGCGAGGGGGAGGAGGACGAGGGCGACTGGCGCGGCCCCGCGCGCGCAGGCCACGCCACGCGCACCAACCCGGCGGAGCTGGCCGTGACCGCGTTCGCCACCATCCTAGGACCCCGCCGCGCTGCCGGAGGGCTGGGCGCGAGCCGCGGAGGGACGGGGGGAGAGGGGGGAGGGAGGGAGGGAGAGGGACGGGGGGAGAGGAGGGAGGGGGGAGAGGGACGGGGGGAAAGGAGGGAGGGAGGGAGGGAGAGGGGCGGGGGGAGAGGGAGGGAGGAGAGGGACGGGGAGAGAGGGACGGGGAAGAGGGAGGGAGGAGGGAGGGAGGGAGAGGGGGAGGGAGACGGGGGAGAGAGGGTGGAGCAGCAATCGCGAATCATGGAAATCGAGTCGAATCATTTGTTGCATCCAGCTCTCTGATGCTATCGAATCTGGTCTCTTTCAGACACGGTGTCCAAGAGATGATTTGGCTAGTCCGGTCAGGCTGGGACGATCGATCTAATATTTGTTGCTGCGGCTGCGGTTCCACGAGCAGGGTCAAGGCGTCAGAGAGGGGGGGGAGCGAGGAAGGGAGGTCCTGCTCTGCTGGATGGAGGTAGGCCCAGGATTCCTGAGTGCAGCATGGGAAGGTTTTCGGCAAGAAGGGAGAATAAGGAGGAATGAGGAGGAGGAGGAGGAGGAGGAGGAGGAGGAGGACAATACGGTGGAGAAGGAGACGGTGGGGGGAGGAGGAGAAGGAGGAGGAGGAGGTGGTGGAGGAGGAGGAGGAGGAGGACCAGGACGAGCGGCTCCATTTTTACATTGACGGAATGCACCAAACCGACTCAACCATGGACGCCTGGGTTGTTTTCATCACCAGCGAAGACGAGGCTTCATAGACCTAATCACGATGGCAGCACGAACGTCAAGTGCGACGGTAATCGCGAACGAACGGCAAAACCACATCTACCACATTTCGGATATATGCGCAGGCGGGCGCATACAACGGCGCCCCCGCTACCGAATCTGAAGTGGTAAAAAGGCTTGCTGAAGGACGATCCAAAGCACGGATCAACCAGGCTTTGCCAGCATTGCCCAACCAGCCTCACGACCTCGCAAAAACGGCAACTACCATGCATACCGAGCATGTGTACGCCCATGCAGGACACCCATGGAATGAGCCCGCCGAATCAGTGGCCGTAAACGAAACCAACCCACAGCCCGAATGAGCTGATGTTTTTGATGCACGGCACCAGCGACAATGGGAGTGGCTGTAATTGTCCAGGGAGGCAGCCATGAAGGCGTATCCCGAGTTGGCCGACAACGCCTTGCACGCAACAGCGCCTAGATCGGTAGCACCACAGGAGCATTTTCCGACCATTCAGCGACCAGGCAAGCAAAACAGACAACATCGACATCAAGGCGGCCACCTTCCAACGTGAGGAGCTTCCAGGAGCCCGCCCATACGGCCGAGAGCAGCACCTCAAAATCACTAGGATCAAGGCGGTCACCCATCAGCTCGAGGATATGCAGGTTCACCGGATCGCGATGCAGGAGACGAGACTACCCAGAGGGGCGGCACCCACGCACGGCCTCCACATCATTTGGAGCGGCCACGACGGCTACAGCTTGGAGCGCTCTCTCGTCATCAGCATCGACCTGTCGTACTCGGTGGACAATGGGGTTGACAGACGGGTACAACCAAATCGCACCAATGTCCTGCACCAGGGCCCCAGGATGCTCATCGTCCGCACCGCGGCCCCTGGCCTACGGCGCCCGGCGGCCGTTGCACGCACTCAGGAGATGACGAGACCGACGCTTTGTGGACGGAGCACATGGCGCTGAAATTCAACACTGACCTCCTCATGTTCGACGCCAGCGCGATCACAGGAGCCGTTATGTCCGATTCCGGAGAGATGCTTGAGGAGAAACACGATGCAGGAAGCCGGCGCCACGAGTATCACAGTACACATTACATACAAAGTAACCGTTGTCAGTGCGGCGATGGGGCGCAGGGGACCACGTGCGCATGCTAGAACGGATTACGTATGCGTCGACATTCCCAGTCCGAGCATGGGCGCAGTGAAAGACGCGGCGACCATCGACGCCATCGATATGGCCCAGGAGGACGAGAACCATTGGTCCGGGCCCAGGCTTGACTTTTCACGGATCGCGAACCCCGACGACCAAAAGTCGCCCCAACAAGAGCTCGCCAAGATTGAGCTCTGCGAGTGGGGCCACGACGCCAACGACCACGCCAACCAGCTCAACGAGAAGGCCAAGGAGGCGGCGAAGCCAGCGCGGATGCGCGAACCCAACATAACCGACAAGACATTCGCACCACTGCGATCACGCAGAGCACGCAAGCGACCCCGTCGCGCCAAGCGAGACGAGCCAGACGCCGCAAACACGGGGGTAGCGACTACAAATTCGGCCCACCCGCCCGCAGATTCAGCCCCGGAGCCGTCTCGTGGTCCTCAGGGGGCCTCTGGCAGGCATGTTGGAAGCCATCTTGTGCCGTCTTCCGATTGCATTTAGCCCTCTTGGAGCATCGGGGGCCCTCTCGGGCCCATCTGGCGGCCCGCGACGCCCGCCAGAACAAATCGAGGAACGGGGGCCGGGAGAGGGCTTTGGAAGCAGAAGCCAGGATCCACTTGGACCGCCCGCGCCCAGAGGGCCAGCGGGGCCAGCGCGCCCTCTGGCCCTGCCAGGGACCTCGCGCGGCCCCGCCCTGAGACGCTGGCCGCGCCCGGGCGTGCAAGGAGTCCTGGGAGCGCCTAGTCAGACAAAAAAGGCCTCGCGTTCCAGGGCCCGCGCGCGCGCGTCACCGCCGCGGGCTGGCAGTCTGCCATGGGGGGTGAGCGGATTTCTGTTTCGGCGGGGGGGGGGCAGGATGCGTCAAATCTCGCGATGGCGACATGTCGCGCGCGCAGTGCCATTTGAGCGCGCGGTTGCGCGCGAACAATGTCAACGCACTCACGCGGTATATATTTCGGGGCGGTGCGTGAAATTCCCATGTGGGTCCGTCGTTTTTATGCGCCGCCACCGCGATGCCACGGGGTGCTTGGGGGCAATCATTCGCGACCCAATGCGGCCGCCAAGTTATTCGCGACCCAATGCGGCCGCCATCTGATCGCATGGCCATGTGGCAAGTGCTTGCGCCTGGCGGGGTCAGGTAGTGGCACCCCTGTCGGGGCGGTCGCGCGCAGGATTTGTCCTTTCCCATGGCCGCCCGGCGGTGGCGTATATTTCGGGGGCCCGTGCGCGTGCCATTGCACGCGCGCCGTCTAGCGCAGGCGGCGCGCCCCCCCCGCCGCGGGCCGGCCGCCCTGGCCGCGCCCCCGCGCCCGCCTGCGCGCGCGCCACTCATGCGCCCTCTTCCTCCACTTCTGGAATGCGCGCCATCTACCGCGGGCGCCGCGCCTTCCACTCTCCCGCCCGGGCGTGCCACCCGCCCTTGGTGGTGCGCTTATCTCTCCCGCAGCGGCGCCTTCTCGCGGCCCCGCTGCCGGCGCGCCTGCTCGTGCACTTGTTGGGCGCGTCTTTCTGCTAGGAAGCCGCTGCGGCCTGGGCCCCGCTTGGCGCGCGCGCCGCCATCGCGGGCTTCGCGCGCCCCCCGTCAGCTATGCCCCTGCGCCAGCTGGCCCGCGGCGCGCGCAGGGGGGCATCTGCCTGCCGCGTTGATTTGGGTGCCTGCGTCATCACCTCTTGCATCCTGGCAATTTGCAGTGCCGTCGCCCAGCTTCCTCGATCGCGCGCGGGGACTGCCTCTGCCGCGCTGCGACGTGAAAGGTGCCATCTGACGCTCTGCGTGCTCTGCGTGTCCACGCGCGCGCCCCTGGCGTGCGCATTGAAGGGCAACGTAGCGAGCGTTGCTTAGGCCAGGCGCTTCGCTCGCATTCGCGCAGCGCATGTTTGCCGCTTCGGTGGCCAGCCTGATGATTTGGAGCCTGCCGGCCCACGAACATGAGGGCGCGTGGCGTTGGGGATCATCTGGGATCTCGTGGCATTATCGCCCGCGGTGGCCCCCGCCGGGGAGGGCGCGGCCATGGCTTCGCGAACCTTTTGGTCGATTGCCTATACTTGGCCCAAATCGTGCGCCCCAGCTCTTGAAAACTAAGCTGTAGGGAATGCTGAAGTGCCGCTCGGTCTCGCGGATCCGAGCAATTAGATGACGCGGTCACGCGGCGCGCGGCGGTGGGCAGTGGGCGCAAAAAAGCGGAAGCTGGCAGGATTCAGTGGGCACATCATGCTTTGGTATGGACAGTGGAAGCGAGACTGTCTGTTGACCCAGCCGGCTTGCGTGTTCGACTCGTGCGGCGACGCTACTTGGTCGGTGCGCCTTCAGTGGCTGGGCGCGCGACCCGGGTGCATTTTAGCAGGCGATGCCAATGTGTCAGCGGTGAGCTGAGAGGGCAGGTGAGTAGAGGGCACAGCGAGCGAGCGCGCCAGCAACCTGTGGTTGAACAACATCCGTGCGTAGTGTCTTCTGGCACAAGTACAACTCCAGCAGATTCCGAAGAACGCGAGCCTATCTCATCGATGAACCGTATTACCGTGGAAGACGTGGGTCTGTCATTGAGTGGTCGCATAAGCGCGCGACGCATTGCGCTGATTCAGACGCCCGGGAGCGCAGGTCGTGGGATTTACAATGCACCGCCTGTGCTGCGGCAGATTTTGGTCAGCAGTTAGCCTGCGTGGAGCCGCCGAGACTACTCGGAGTTGTCTGTCATCGCTACTCTGGAGTGTGTTCGTATGCCAGACACCGAGGAAGTGGAACATTTGCACAGCGCGCAACGCGCTGACCCCCTTTTTCGGTGCGGTGGCTTGCGTGAATAGCACGAGGTATGGGCTGGTGTTCAGAATTCCTGACCAGTTGGAATTGGTTTGTCGCGTGAGAAACAGCCTTCCCGAGAACGCGAAGCTACCAATCGGTGCAGCCTGCCTCGCAGTTCCATCCCCGCAAAGTGGATGTCGATCGATCATGGGCCAGTATGGCGGTCGCTTGATTGAGGCTCTTTACAGCTTGCTCCGCAAGCATGGCCAGGTGCTGCGCTATATCCACTGTTTCAGCGCGCTTGGGTGGGGCAGCGCGGTTGCCTTGCAGGCTATTATCCTTTTGGTCTTCGGAAACCCAGCTTCTGTATCGGATTCCTAGCATCGACAAGTTGGCAACGCGTAATTTATATCTAGTGGCTGATTCTCCTTGCGACCAGAGGCAATGAAGCACTGCACTTGGAACTCCAGCGAGTACCATGCATACGTAGTGTTTTTTCTGTGGCCCATCAATTTGTCGGGGTCAGTCGGCGGCGGGGCCGATGGCGAGTGAGCACATGCTGTTTGTGGCATCATCAGGGTCACCAGGCCTAATCTATTTGGGATGCCTGACAGGGACGCGCGATCAGCAGCCAGAAAGGGAAGGACTGGCACCCGTCTGGCCAATGCCCCGGAACGTCGCTCTGCGGTGGGCTGGGCGGCGCGCCGCCATCCATGTTGGCAGGCTCCCTACCTGGCGATGCGGCATGCTGCGCTGATCCGTCCTGGTTGCGCTGCTCGTCCGAATCGAGGGCCCCAATGCGGCGCCTACGCTTTTCAGCCTGCTCGAGCTTGCGGCGCTCGCGCTTGGCCGCGCCGCCTGATGAGTCCACAAAGCAGAGCCTCCCAGGGGAGCGGCTCTGGAGCCCAACCTCCAGTGTAAGGCTCCGTTGAAAGCATCCCGCAGGCAGCCGCGCCGTGGGTGCGGGCGAAGGCGCGCCAGGTGGCGGCGGGTGCGGTCGTGACGGCTGTGCAGGCAGCGTGCTTGGCTGCGGCTGTGCGGATCGGCATGGCGTGCGGGCGCGCAGGTTTGCTGTGCGTATTGAGCGTGCGTGGCGACCTGGCGGAACAGAAAAGCCCAACATCTAGGGCGTTCTGAGGAACTCCCAAAGGGGATCGTGCAGGTGGGTAAGATTTCAGAGGCAGGCAGCCTAGGGCCAGCCCTTCGGCTGCAGACAAGCTGGAAACACCAGGGCCCAGGTTTGAACTTGAGTCAGCATGGCGACGGAAGGAGGAGGAGGAGCAACATGGAAGAGGAAATGCTGATAATGCCGGTGAAGAGGAGGAGGAGGATGAGGAGGATGACGAGGAGAGAGCATGAGCACGTAAGAGTATGGATGAGACGGGGGATGATGGAATAACATGAAGAACAGGTGGATGAGGAGGAGCATGGAGAAGTATGGAGGATGGCTAGAAGGACGAGGAGGAGGAGGAAGAGGAGGAGGAGCAGCAGCAGCAGCAGGGGGAGGGACTACTAAAAAGAAGATCGTGGTGAGGAGGGACGTGGAGAAGCATCGCGGAGAAAAAGGAGGAGGAGGAGGAAGCAGCAATTGCTGAGGAATAAAGGAGGAGGGTGAGTAGGAAGAGGAGGAGGAGGAGGAGGAGGACGAGGCAGAGGAGGAGGAGGAGGAGGAGGAGGAGGAGGAGGGAAGCATAAGGATAGGTGGAATGAGGAGGAGGAGGAGGATAAGGATGAGGATAAGGATAAGGATAATGAGGAGGAGGACGAGGACGAGGGAGGAGGAGGAGGAGGAGGAGGAGGAGGAGGAGGAGGAGGAGGAGGAGGAGTGCCACGCGGCCCGCAGGCGCTCTTCACAGCTCCAAGCAGCTGGCCGAATACCGAGGGCACCCGGGCCTGCAGATGCGGCTAGGCGCCGTCCCCCCCCGCCCGCGCCCGGCCCCGAGGCCGGCAGGGAGGGAGGTCGGGGATCGACGCTCGATCCATGGCTACCCCTGCTGCTGCTCCCGCTCTGCCCCTGCCCCCGTTCGCTCTGCCGCCAGCGCCGCGAGGCGGCCGCTCGAGATGCCAGCGGGCACAATGAGCGTTCGAAGCAGAAGCGCCCGCCCGTGGGGCTTGGATGGTCCCTGCGACCGACGAACGCGTCCTGGATGACTGGTCCGTGAAGGCCTCCATCCTTGCATGGCGCAGTGCCAAGTTGCGCGGAGCAGTTCCGTGAGTTCCGTCGACCCCAGCGGGGGAACGTGTCGCATTAGCCTCGGCTGTTTTTGGAGCCTGAATATTTGCAGGTCCTGGGCAAAGACGTCATGTTCAGAGATGTTGATGTTTCGTAGTATGCCAGACTTGCCTGCCCTTTTACCGCAGTGTTTCGGCAAAATTGTCGGTTCGGCCATCGTGATCGCCTGGTCCATGTCGTATTCATCATTTGCGAGTCGCTGGAACGCTCGAGTGGTTCTGTCAAGTGGGTGCCAAATTGCAGGATGCCGCTGCATCCGCTGACAAAAGACTACGTGACTCAGTCGAATGTGGCCACGACGAATTGATGTCAAGTGGAAGGTCCTGCTGGTGGATGCAAATGTCGAGATGGCCGAACGCAGGGGCGACTATTCGAAAAAGTCCCGTTCTCAGGCGGCCGCCTTTGCCAAGACCCTCGCAGGATACACGACCACCGTGGCCTGGACGTCCGTCGTGCGACCGGGGGACGGCGCCACCAGCCGCCAGAGGGCATCCACTGATCTCTTTCCTCCTCCTCACACCCATGTTGGCCGAGCGGACGGCAGGACGGAACATGTAGACTCAGCGCCAGCTCCGGACGTTGTCCAATATTGCCATTTTGGTGACCATCTTCGCTGTGTTGCATAGGTATTGTCTGTGGCCTGCTGCACCGACAAGGAAGCTTGACCAGTGTAGCCAGAGTGGGAGATGACCTGGTCACCTGTTGTTGTGTCACTGTTATTATTTAATCGCTTCGCTCATTCCGCTGGCCCTGGAACGCTATTTGGGGCCTCTTGGGGCCGTCTTGGGGGCCTGTTGGGTTTTTTTTTGGGAGCGTCTTGGGGCTCCTTGGCGGCGTCTTGGGCTCCCCTGGGGCCTCTTAGGGGGCTCTTGGGGGCCCCTTGGGGCGGGAGGGGGGTTAGTCGATTGCAGCCACCCCCTCGGAGGCCACGATCCTCGCGTGTCCTTGTTCATTATTTCAATACGGCAGATAGGTACTCGCGCGAGTCTTGCGCGGAGGCCCTGTGCGGGGGACACTGTGCGCTACGTGCGGGGCTGTTGCGAATGCCCTTGAGATCGGATCAGCACGCGCGTGCCCGCGCAGCGGAAAGAGGAGGCACATAGAGTCACGATATATTCGGTCCCTTGGCACAAGACCCCTTCGTACATATTGTGCTTCGGTTTGACGAAGATAGTATATGTGCTGGCGATTTGTTTTGAAACATGGTTTGTGTTTGTCATGTTGTTGTACAAGCGTGGCTCAAGTCCAAGAGTAGCGACGGGAGGACGAAGACGAGGGGTGTGATGAGGAGTGAGGGAACATAGTGGGACGAAATGGGACGAGGTGGACGAGGAGGGTGGGGGAAAAGGAGGAAGGGGAAATAGCGGGAGTTGGACTAGGAGGCAGGAGGACGATGAGGATGTGACAATCTCAGCGCGTCGTCTGTTCCCCTCCAGCCGACGCGGCGCCCGAGGCAGCGACGCGCGGGTCAACATTAGCTTTGGCCTGCACGCCGGCTGGGCCATCGAGGGCGCGGTCGGCCGCGCTCCGCCGCGAGCGCCGCCGCGAGCGCGGCGACGCAGCGGCTGCCGCCGCTGCCGCTGCCGCCCGACGCGCGGCTGCTGCCGCCGCCGCCGCCGTTGCCGCCGCCACCGCCGCCGCTGCCGCTGCCGCCCCGCGCGCGGTTGCTGCCGCTGGCGCCGCCGCCGCCGCCGCTGCCGCCGCCGCCGCTGCTCCCGCAGGGGGCGCCTCCGAGCCGCTGGCCCTCCCCTGGGGGGGCCCCCCGTCGCCACGGCCGGGCCCCCGCCCCGAGGTGTTCGCCCGGGCGCGGTCTGGCCCTCTGCAGCTTCGGGGGCCTCGCCTGTCCCCAAAGCTGCTGCCTTCTCTCGTGCCCGACGCGGGCTCGAGGCGGCCTCGACGCGGACTGGGCGTGTGTTCGACGCTGACTCGTCGCGGAGCCAGCGCGGATCCGACGAGGCCGACGTGGACTCGGCACACATTCGACGCGGGTGGGACCGCGGCGGGACAGACGATGCCCCCCGAGGATGCAACATGGGGTCTGGGGTGGGCCAAGCGGGGGCGGGGGCGAATTGAGGGAGGCGGAGTTGGCTAGGTCACCCGCAGGGCCGCGGAGATGGAGCCGTGTTGCGGCACGGGCCGGGGAGTTGCCCTCCTTCGGGGGGCGCGCCGCGGAAGCGAGAAGATGCAGCGTTCCGCGCGAGGCGCGACCTGCGGTGACCACCACTGGTGGGAGGATGAGGAGGGAGGAGGAGGGATCCTCCTCCCTCCTCGATCCTCCTCCTCCCTCCTCGATCCTCCTCTCCCTCCTCCTCCCACCTCGATCCTCGTGGGCCATCGGGCGTCCGCCTGGCCCGATGATGGCTTCCGGCGGCCTCCCTGGAACTCCCGACGGCGGGGATCGCTCGCTGGAGCTCCCGGCGGCTGGGCAGGCCGCGGGGGCGACGACGGGGGCCAATAGCCCAGGGGCGGGCACTGCGTGCGTTCGCCGTGGAGCCTCGCCGAGGGCGTGGACCATCGGCGCCCCGGGAGTGTATGGCTCCACCCTGGGCTGTTCGCCCTTATCGTCGCCGCCGAAGGCCGCGGGGGGGGGGGGAGGGGATGAGGATGAGGATGAGGAGGAGGAGGATGAGGAGGAGGAGGAGGAGGAGGAGGAGGAGGATGAGGAGGGTAAGGAGGATGAGGAGGAAGAGGAGGAGGAGGATGAGGATGAGGATGAGGATGAGGATGAGGATCACAGCAGAAGCATGCCGCAGTCGGGCGCCCTCGGTCGGCACCAGCCGGTCCGCGGTTGGCAGGGCTCTCGGTGCTCCGCCGCCCGCTGCACATGCTCGGAGGGATCTCGAGAGAACGGCTGGGTACGTCGGCGATGGCCTCCCGCGCGCCGTCGCCCGCGTCTTCGGAGGAGGCGCCTCGCGCGAAAGCAGCACGAAGCCGTGGCCCGCTTGTTGAGGTAGGCCGACACAGGGAGGGATGGGCAGCGGGGGGAGGGGCGAGGGGGGCAGGGTGAGGAGGGAGGGAGGAGCCGGAGGGGGACGGGTGTTGGATGATGGATGACGGATGCCGGATGATGCGTGGTGATGACGGTGACGATTTTGATGACGACGATGATGGTGATGCTGATGATGATGATGATGAGGATGAGGATGAGGATGAGGATGAGGATGAGGAGGATGTTGATGATGACGATGATTATGATGATGATGATGATGATGATGATGATGATGATGATGATGATGATGATGATGATGGTGATGGTGATGATGGCGATGATGGTGATGTTGATGATGTTGATGATGTTGATGCTGATGATGATGTTGATGATGATGATGGTGGTGGTGGTGGTGGTGTGGATGCTCATGGTGATGCGGATGCTGATGCGGATGCTGATGCTGATCATGATGTTGCTGATGGTGCTGATGATGCTGGTGATGATGACGGTGACGTTGTTGATGATGACGATGATGATAATGATGATTATGGTAGTGGTGATGATGATGCGGATGCCTGAGTATGCTGATGATGCGGATGTTGGTGCTGATGATGCTGATGATGATGAAGAATGTGAAAGTGGAGGTGATGAGTATGATGATGATGATGATGAAGATGATGATGATGATGATGATGATGATGATGATGATGATGATGATGATGATGATGATGATGATGATCATGATGATGATGATGATTATGATCATGATGACGACGACGACGACGGCGATGACGGTGATGATGACGGTTGTGGTGTTGATGTTTAAGGTGGTGGTGATGATGATGATAACGATGATGATGTTGTTGATATTGTCGTTGATGATGGTGATGATGTTGTTGATGCTGATCATGATGCTGCTGATGATGTTGATGATACTGATGACGATGATGGTGATGGTGATGGTGATGATGATGATGGTGGTGGTGATGATGCGGATGCGTGAGTATGCTGATGATGCGGATGCTGGTGCTGATGATGCTGGTGAAGGTGATGAGGATGATCATGATGATGATGCTGATGATGATGACGATTACGATGACGGCGATGATGACGGTTGCGGTGATGGTGGTGATGATGATGTTGTTGATTATGTTGTTGTTGACGATTATGATGGTGCAGCTGGTGTTGACGATTATGATGATGCTGATTTTTGATGATGATGATGACGATGACGATGATGATGGTGATGGAGATGGAGATGATGATGATGATGATGATGATGATGATGATGATGATGATGATGATGATGATGCTGCTGATGATGATGATGATGCTGATGATGATGATGATGATGATGATGATGATGATGATGCTGATGCTGATGCTGATGCTGATGCTGATGCTGATGCTGATGCTGACTGCTGCTGATGATGATGATGGTTTGGGTGGTGATGATGAGGAGGAGGAGGGACGCGGAAGGGAGGAGGGAGGAAGGAGGGAGGAGGGAGGAGAGAGGAGGGAGGGAGGAGGGAGGAGAGAGGGGGGAGGAGGGAGGGGGGAGGGAGGGAGGAGGGAGGAGGAGGCGAGCCAGGTCGGCAGCGAGTACAAGATCGATGCCTCGTACCTGTCGCCTACCGTGAGCATAGCCGCCAGCATCGAGAGGGCGACGGACCCCCTCCCCTCCCCTGCAGGAGGTGGGGGAGGAGGACGACTGGCAGGGAGGGGAGGTGGAGAAGGAGGGGGTGGATTCGAAGGAGAACACACGGCATAAACATAGACTTCTGGCGCTCCGCGCGGATTTCTTGGATTCGCGCTGGCCCCCGCCCCCTGGCGGCGCCTCTGGCGCCTCTGGCGCGCTCCGCGCGCCAGGGAGGGGGGTCCGGCGAAGCGCCAAAAGTTTGTGTTTATACCTTTTTTCTTCCTCTGCTTGGAGGGAGGGGAGGTGGAGGGAGAGAGGGTTTTTTTTCTTCCTCTACTGGGTGGGAGGGAGGGGAGGTGGTGGGAGGGAGGGTTTTTTCTTCCTCTACTGGGAGGGAGGGGAGATGGAGAAGGAGGGGGCGCATTCCTCCCCGACCCTCCTTGGTGGAGGGGCGTCGTTTGAATTCCCAGCTCCGCACGTTTCCTCCTCCTCCTCCTCCTCCTCCTCCTCCTCCTTATCATCATCATCATCATCATCATCATCATCATCATCATCATCATCATCATCATCATCGTCATCATCATCATCATCATCATCATCAGCATCAGCATCAGCATCAGCATCAGCATCAGCATCAGCATCAGCATCATCATCATCATCAGCATCAGCATCAGCATCATCATCAGCATCATCATCATCATTATCATCATCATCATCATTATCATCATCAACATCATCATCATCATCATCATCACACCCCACACCCCAGAGGCCCTGAATGACTCCATCTTCGCCTTCTTGCCCAAAGGAAGTGAGCCCAGTGATGCCTATGAGTGCCTGCGGAGCCCCGACCACATTCGTCCTCGTTCGTTGCGCAACCCAGGTTCCAAGATCCTGGCTCCTGCGGCAAATCAGAAGCTCAAAGGACTTGTCCGTGCTCGCACCCACAAAGCCCAGCAAGGCTTTGTTCCAGGTAGGAACTTTCTTCACAATTCGCTCCAGCTAGACACTGCCGCTCGCCCTGCTAGCATCAGCGAGACAGCCGAAGCTCAGGCGCCCGTCTTTGTGGCGTTCGATATAGCTGCAGCGTTTCCATCCCTTGGCCACGACTGGCTGTGGGAGGTGCTCTCTCGATTTGGCGTGCCTCCTGGATATCTGAATATGCTTGCCTCGCTGTACAGGGAGTTAAATAAAACTAGGTGGGCATGCCCGGCTTCAGTCTCGCGGACCTACTCTAAAATCATGTGTTTAAAATTCCTTCTTTTGTTTCATGCCCTGCCGTCATCGCGCGAGTGATAGTCGAAAACCTGATTCTAAAAATGGTCACGGCTATCTTCCCCCACCTCCTCTTCCTCCTCCTCTCCCTTCTCCTCCTTCTCCCCCTCCTCCTCCTCCTCCTCCTCCTCCTCCTCCTCCTCCTCCTCCTCCTCCTCCTCCTCCTCCTCCTCCCCCTGGCGGAGGTTGCAAAGCGATAAATTTGGAGAAATGTTTGGGGGAAGATCTGCGGGAAAATCTGAGGGAGGAAGATCTGGGGAAAGATCTGGCGGAAGATCTGGCGGATGATCTGGCGGAAGATCTGGCGAAAGATCTGACGGAAGATCTAGCGGAAGATCATGCGGAAAATTTCAAGATGAATTTGGCGGAAGATTGGGAGGAAGATTTGCCGGAAGATCTGGCAGAAGATTTGGTGGAACATTTGGCAGAACATTTGCGGGAAGATCTCGCGGGAGATTTGGAGGATCAATCTGGCGGAAGGTATATGTAGTGGAAGATTCAGCGGAAGATTTGGCGGAAGATTTGACGGAACATTTGGAGAAAGATTTGGCGGAAGATTTGGCGGAAGATCTCGCGGGAGATTTGGAGGATCAATTTGCCGGAAGATTTGGAGGAAGATTTGGTGGAAAATCTGGCGGAAAATCTGAAGGATTAATTTGGCGGAACGTAGCGAAAGATTTGGCGGAAGATTTGGAATATGAATTTGGCGGAAGATGGCGCAGAAGATCTAGCGGAAGTTCCGGTGGAAGATTTGGAGGGAGATTTGGCGAAAGATTTGGAGGAAGATTTGGAGGAGAACATTGGCGAAAGATTTGGCGGAAGTTCCGGCGGAAGCTCTGGAGGAATATTTGGCGAAAGAACAGGAGGAGGAGGAGGTGTAGCAGGACGAGGAGGAGGACGGAGTGGAGAAGGAGGAGGAGAAGGAGGAGGTGGTGGAAGAGCAGGAGCCCCCAGCTCTTCGTCCAGATCTTCCCCAGGCTTTCCCCCCAGATCTCCACCTAGCTTTTCCCCCAGATCTTCCTCCTCCCTCCTCCCTCCACCTCTTTCTCCAGATCTTCCGCCAAATATTCCTCCAGATATTCCTCCAGATCTTCCGCCAGTTTTATCCTCCAGATTTTCCGCCAGATCGTTCGCCAGATCTTCCTCCAGATCTTCCGTCAGATCTTTCGCCAGATCTTCCGCCAGATCTTACGCCATATCTTCCGCCAGATCTTCAGCCAGATTTGCATTCCAGATCTTCCGCCACATATTCCGTTATATTCTCCGCCAGATCTATCTTCCAGATCTTCCGCCTGACCTTCCTCCAGATCTTCCGCCAGATCTTCCTCGAGATCTTCCGCCAGATCTTCTGCCATATCTTCCGCTGGATTTTCCGCGGGATCTTTCGCCAGATCTTCCTCCAGATATTCCGCCAAATCTTTCTCCAGATTTTACGCGAGATCTTCCGCCAGATCTTCCGCGAGATCTTTCGCCAGATCCTCTTCCAGAGTTATATTCCACATCTTCCGCCAGATCTTCCGACTGATCTTCCTCCAGATTTTCTGGCAATCTTCCGACAGATCTTCCGCAAGATCTTCCGCCAGATTGTCCGCCAGATCTTCCGCCAGATCTTCCGCTAGATGTTCCGCCAGATCTCCCGCCAGATCTTCCGCCAGATTTTCTTCCAGATCTGCCGTGAGATCTTCTGCCATATCTTCCGCCATATCTTCCTCCATATTGATCTTCTAAATCTTCTGCGAGATCTTCCGCCAGATCTTCCACCGGATCTTCCGCCAGGCGCTCCGCCAGTTATTTCTCAAGATCTTCGACCAGATCTTCCGACAGATTCTCCGCCAGATTTATCCTCCAGATTTTCCGCGGGATCTTCCGCCAGATTTTCCGCTAGATTTTCCGTCAGATCTTTCGCCAGATTTTCCGCCAGATCTTCCGCCAGATCTTCCTCCCTCAGATATTTCCGCAACTATTCCCGAAACATTCCTCCAGGTGTATCGCTTTGCAACCGCGTCCAGTCTTCCTTTGGACACTGCCCAGATCTCTCGACAGATTCTTCCCAGATCGTCCTCCTGCTGCTCCAGGGTGTTCCTTGTTTTGTTTCATGCCGCGTCGTGGGTCCGCTTCTTGTTGTTTTAAATTCCTAGCTTTGTTGTCTGCCTTGCTTCGGGTTGCAATCTCTACGGGACAACCTAGAATCTAAAATTCCTTATGTTTAATTAATTATATATATAGATATATGCATAAACCTCCCTGTACTTTGAGCCCCGCAATTTTGCCAGGCTGCAAGGCGAAACTCAATGTATGTTCCACCTGCGCTCAGATGTTACGCAAGGCTGCCCACTTTCGGGTTCGGTTTGGGCCATCGCAATGGGCCCGATTAAACCACATCTGGAGGCGGAGGTGTCGTCGTCGCCACGGGGGGTGGTCGGAGGATTTGCTGACGATACTGGGCTGGTGCAGCCCTGCCTGACCGATTTAACGCGTGCCTTTCCAGTCTTCAAAAGTGCCAAGATTCTTGCCAAGCTGCGCCTTCAGCCCAGCAAGACAGTTGTAGTTCCACTTTGGGCGGAAGTGACGCCTGAGATAGAGCGTCGCATTCGCACGTTTCTGGGGACTCACATTCCCGAGTGGAGCGGTTTCAAGATTGCTGGCCAGGCGAAATACCTGGGCGTGCAGTTCGGCCCTGCGGCCATTGAGCTCTTGGTCTGGTCGGAGGCCGTTCGCAAGTGGTGGAGTCGGACTTGCGACATCCCACGCACGGCCTCGGCCACTAGTATCAGTCTGCGTCTCTACAACAGCACCGCCCTCTCGACGCTCAGCTATCTTGCGCAGCTGTTTCCATTGCCAGCCGGTGTTACACAAAGAAAAGTTTGCTCTGCACAAGGTCCTGCGTTTGCCGCCTAGCACGTTTCGATTGGCTGACCTGTTCTCATTCTGAGCACACGGCTTGGTGGCCTTTGCATCTGCGTTGGTCATGAACGCAGCGAGCTTGTGGCGGTGTGGCTACCACACTTTGCGAGGCTGGGAATCGCAGTTGCACGAAGAGCCTGAAGCTACGATCCTCCAAGTGCCCCTGGTGCGCTGGTTACGTGGGCAGTGGAGCGCGCCTTGTTGGAAGATAGAGCAACGTTTTCTGCAGCGCTTTGCTAGCCTAGCCGATGATCCGCCCTCTCCGACCATCCCAGCTGCGTCCTGGCGTCCTGCCCTGGCCGCGGCCCGGGACGAGCAGGCCAGTGCTGCGGGAGAAGGTCGTAAGGGTTAAGGTCCAACGCATTCTCTCCTCCTCGCTGCGAGCCTCCCTCTTTCCTCCAAATTTTGAGATCGCGATCGCTAAGCGTCTGTCTGCGCGGAGTTTTTTCTGCCCCGATTAGCGGGACGGTGTGCGAGCGGTGGGGGGACTGTCTTGCGGTGCTCCGCACCTTCAAACCTGCCTGGCAGTGGAGCCTGCTCAAGACCCTCGCAGGAGCGTGGACGACATCGCACCGAATGCGTGTCTGTGGAGTGACCTCCTGCATATTCGGCTGCAGTGAGCAGCCTGACGCTATCTCCCACTACCTCTCCTGCCCTGTCCTCGGTGAGCTTCTCCCCCTGCCCTCCTCACCTTTTTTAATCCTCGGCCTTGGCGCCGGTAACGGATACAACTGTGCCTCGTGTGCACCTTGCCGCCGTGCTGCCATGCGCCTCGGCGTGCTTTGCTTTCATACCAACCACAAGCTCAAGGCGATGCTGGCTCACGGAACCGCAGCGGACCCTTTCGAACA